ACACGTGAATCATACTCTGCCGGAAGTTTCTCCAGAATCAAATACGAATCCTATCAAAGCAAGCGATTAACATGCACAATTTAGAGTAAATTACTAGTAACCTTGTTCACGCCAACTAGATCTCCCGGCTTTAATTCTGATGGTTCAACCAGGCCCACAACTGGTAAGAAATAAGTTGCTCTCGTCGAGGTTTTGATAACAGCACATTTGGTTTTATGAGCGTCCAGATCAACGTTGGCTCCTAAACAATGTGAGATCTTTTTAAAGATGAAATAGTTTTGAAGGCTCGAAGTTTCAAGAGAAGCTATATGAAAGACCGATCTGTGTTGATTTGATATCTCAAAATCGAAAAAAAGTGATATTTCGCGGGCCGACTCTGCCACTATGTGAATCGCAACAAAAGTGATCAAGCACTGTAGATAAATAAGACACCAGCGAAGAGGATGAAGAGGTACAAAAACAATAGGGTGCCATAGCCATTGAGAGAGATAATGAAGAGATAGAATTTTATATGAGATAAACAATTTATACTGCGAGTCCTGCGCGACGGGATTCAAAGCATTTGCATGATGTTTAGTTCATTAATTGCTATATCAAACTAATTGTAAGAAATATAGCGCATGCGAACAGCGCAGACTCAGCAGGTGTATGATACCCTAGATACGATCGATGTAAACGCGATCTAAAGAAGCTGCACGTTGCAAAAACTGCTCCCTGCGAGCAAATATCAATCTTATCATCAAGGGGTCAACATAACAAGAACCTGTGCGATATATGACGAAACTGTAACCACACAAAACACATGTGATAACAGGAAAGAAATCGTTCTGATAATGAGCTATATTACGAACAGACTCACCCTCTTCTTCTTGATTGTCTTCCAGATCTAGAAGTTCGACAACGTTTGACACCAAATATGGTAGGGTCTTATTCACCTAGGAAAGTAAACATGCAGAATGGCAGAGCCATTTTAGCGCGTTACCTTGATCCGCTCATTATTCTCTTTTATGCGTTCTTTCAATGTAGAAACGGAATGGTTGATTCGCTGCACTTCACTTCTCATTATGCGAATTTCATTATCCAACAAGTGCGTTCTGCTTTTGAGATCTTCAGGAGCCATACGGAGGATTTCCTCATCGAGTGCCTGGAAATTCATGATACGAACTTCTACGTTAGAAAGCAGATGAAAAGGCATCACCTCCTCCACTTCCATCTTTTCTGGGGCTGCAGCCGTAGGCGTTGCATCACCTTTGGCAGCAGTAGCTTTTTGGGGTGTGGTGGACATTCTGAACCTATAATATGAAGCTAGGAGATAGTTTGAAAGCAAAACAAAACGGGGAAGCAAAACTTCAAAATATGAATGTAAATCAATGAGACATGATGAGCAGCGGTTATAATCGAACTGATTAGTCTGAAAATTCGTCGTTTATAGGATGACAATGTCTGATACCGCCGTAATTTACAATCAAAGCAGATTTGGTCTTCAGTCATAACTTCTAAAAATATAGACCTTACATATTCAGTCGTTTCGATTTGACAAAGTTTCAGAATTGAAAATGCAAAAAAAATGCCTCATTAAAGTAAATCTGTATAAAGATTCAATGATTAATGATCTCGAAGCAAAATTATGAGCCCAATTTAATGTTTACAATTGAATGCAAGCAAAATGCTCGGCACAAAAACGGCGTGACGATGACAATATGTTGTGTGCATCTACGGACTTGAAGCGGAGCAGACCAAAGTGTCAGTGGAGCATCTTGTTTTTTGTGTAAAAAGCACATTTGCAACTGAAACATTGTTTCAGAGCAGAATTTTCAGATGAAAGTGCCGAATGTGTCAAGCAATACTGCAGAGCAAGCTCTGATGCGAGCATGGCAGGTCCAGACGCCGGGAGCATCACCACAA